TTTTTTTTTCAGAGTACATTCTCTGAGCATCCTTTTGAAAATCAATTGACCATAGATGAATGATTCATTTCTGGCCTCTGAGATATGTTTTACTTATCCCTGTGTCTATCCTTAGGCGGGTACCACATTCATCTTGACTATAGCTTCATAAGTGAGTTCTAGTGAGTTTTGAAATCTAAAATAAAATTTTTTTAATGTTTATATATTTTTGAGAGAGAGAGAGATGGACACAGAGTGCGAGCAGGGGAGGAACGGAGAGACAGGGACACACAGAATCCGAAGCAGGCTCCAGGCTCCGAGCTTTCAGCACAGAGCCCAATGTGGGGCTCGAACTCATGTGAGAACATGACCTGAGCAGAAGTTGGATGCCCAACCAACTGAGCCACGCAGGTGCCCCAGTGAGTTTTGAAAACTAGAATTGTCAGTCCTGAAAATGTGTTCTTCTTCAGGATTTTTTGGATGTTCTGAGTCCCTGCAATTCCACAGAAATTTAAGATCGTCTTTTCTTAGAGTGCAAAATAGGCATGTGGGCATTTGATAGGGATTGCATTTAATCTACTAATTGCTACGGAGAGTATAGCTTCCTAACAATTATAGTTCTTTATGTTTTGTAAGGTAACTAAGATAAAATAATAAAACATTTAAGTATGAACCTTCTGCTTACCTACTTTTGTCTTAGTACAGAAAAACTATAAAGATAAATGTGGGTCCATTAGTAAACTTGGGTTCTTATTTATTTAAATATTTTATTATGTTTCTAGAAATTGTGAAAGGTAGTCATAAATTTGCTAATCTAAAGAATACTGGCATAGCAAACAGTTCACAGTTGCTTCCTATTTAATTTTCACTAGAAAACTAAGGTCTCTAGAGTTAGGAATTCTAATAAATATAACTTAGGCTACTAAAAACAATCAGGAAAACAACTACGTGCTCCAGGAAAGTAAGACATGTGTTTTTTGAGGGGAAAAAGTATGAAGAAAGGGAATACATTTTGTGTTGAAGGAAAAGAAAAATAATTTTGTCCTAACATGAGTCCGCTTATTCAAAGAATCCTTAGATCGAGATCTAAATGTATAAGAGAAAGCCGTAGTAGGATTTTGGGAAAGAAACCTGGAAAGGAATTTTAAGTGTGGTCAGTACTGGTTAAATTTTAAAAATATTCAGTAAATAAATGAGGTTTCATATCAAAATGCATGGATGAAAAATTAAAATTGTGTTTTCTCTGGGTTAAAAGGTCAAAATTTTCTTGAACTATTGGTCTGCTCTTATTAAAAGTGGAAACAACAGGTTTATTCACTTTTAAACTTATCTGCCTAGAATACAAGCACTCTGTTTTACCAAAATACTTCCTATGTTTATCAGAAATGTCATTCATTGAAAACAAATTATTTATATATTTCAGAAGTCTTACATGTTGCTTATAACTACGTAACGTTCTCTGCTTACCTTTAATGTGTTTGTGTTGTGTGTCACAGGAATGAACACATTTTCTTGTCAATTGCATCGTAATGAACTCTACTCACGTCTTTGGCCATGACCACTTTTAAGGCTTCTCATGCACAGTGACCATGTTACTCCCATGCTCCTACAACGTGTTTCATCGTCAAGGATATTCATGGAGAGGACTTTTGACAACCTTCCTTTACAACATGTTTAGCTTCTGTGTCCTCTCTCTTCTCCCAGACACTGTCGGCTCCCTGAACGTGGGGACCCTTCCTGTCACGTCCACATGGGACCCACATCCCTAGAGTCATTTGTGGCACACACTAGGTGTTCAGGAAGTGCTATGGATGCACATTATCTGGGCAGTAGGGTATCAACACTCAGGCACACCTGGACTCTTTGTTCCTGGCTCTGTCCTGACCTGTCACGGACTCTGTCCCCAGGGCAGCTGGCCCCTGACACCCAGGAATTTCTCCCCGGTAGGAGACTCTCCTACAATGTGTTCCAGCCGGGGACAGGCTTGGGGGCCTGAGGTTAATAGAATATGGATCATTTGCTAACCAAAGTTCCTTGACATTGTTCTCACACTACAGTTTACAGCAAACGAAGGAAGCAGCTGACTTGGCCCAAGGGAGGAGGCTGCGAGAGGACCCCCGTCGCTGGGGAAACAGCAGATTGTTGTCTCACTTCCCCCAAAGGACTGGGCACTGCATAAGCAATGAGTTTCTTGTCCCACGCTGAGCCGTGATCATCAGCCTCGTCGTCCTCCTGGAGCCCAGTGATGGTCAAGGAGCCTGTGTTGTCAGACTTGGAGCCAGAGAACCGGTCTGGGACCCCCAAAGGCCAAGTGTTCTCGTGGAGAATGGCTTTAGGGGTCATTCCTGGGGGCTGTTGGTACCAAAACACACAATAACCGGCCCCAATGTTGGCTGGGCTTCCAGTGCAGGAAATGGTGAGTGTCTGGCCCAGGGACCCAGACACTGAAGATGGCTGAGTCAGCACAGACTGCGCCAAGGACCCTGGAAGAAGAAGAGACAGAGAGGATGAGGCTGGGGTCTAGAGACAAGAGGAGGAAGCAGGGCCCCTTCCCCTGTCTCTGCATCCAGTCACCTGTGCAGTGAGCAAGTACGATGAGGAAGAGAGAGACCCAGGCCATGGTGGAGGCCCGTTCCTCATGACTGCTCCTGCTCTCTGTGACCCCACAGCTGAGCAGACCTTCCCTAACCCCTCCTTCCCCTCTTCATCCTCTGAGAGAGGGAGGACCCATCCACGCATGAGACCCCCAGCTCTCTGACCCTTCACAGGCCCCGGTTGGTCCCTCATCCTGAGGAGGTCAGGGGTGGGCAGGGCAGGGGCTGTGTGGGGCCA